TGCCACTCGACATCGAAAATCCTGTTCCTGCTTTTTCTTCCTTCTGATGGAGCTGCTGCTCTGCTGAGGATTCTTTCTTCATCAACGTGTTGACTGATACACTGTAAACGATAGTATAACTTATTAATTCTGTGAATTTTCTTTCTTGTAATTGAAGATCCTGGTGTGTCATTATATCAGAAATTCTTGTCAGCAAGAAGTTTTCATTTCAGTAAACATCTGACACTTTTCAAGATCAACAACAGTTTTGGAGACAGCCAGAAGAAAGAAGCGAACAGGGAGTAAAGGAGCCAAGAAGTTTTGTTCGGTTTCTATTTTTATTTCTTCTGGGAAGTTTCCTCTGATGGATGGAATCCTCTCCTGTACGCGTTCCTTTTTCCTCTCTTTATCAGCACCCTTCCCTGGAAAAACATCAGTGTGCTTCAGTCCATTTTCATTAGAGACGCTTATTAGCAAAGGAAGTTCTGCCAGTTACGTACCATCGATCAGTTCACGCGATAATATCCCAATGTTTGCGTATCATATTTTCCTTTGATGGAAATCTTTCACCGTTGGGAATACTTCTTGACAGAAGACTAATTCTAATTCCTGAAAAAAAAAAGAAGATGAAAATGGTACTTCACTATTTGTTATTAAATTTCACTGCTGTTACAATAATGGAGTATTCCATTTTTTTGATACCGTTCACTTTTCCAATAAAATGGAAAAATTTGAAAAGTTCAAAAACTGTGTTTCAGCTTGATCACTTTTCACAATCTACGTTTATTCCGTATCACTCAGTTTCGTTAAAATACAATGCAATCAATTCAGGATAAAAGGGACCATCCATCAGCGACTGTAATAACCCGTTTCAAGGGTTCAAGTAAAATGTAAATTTCGATTCTTTAAAGTTTACATCAGCCTCTACTTAGCGAGCGGTATTACGGTACAAAAGAAAGTCTGATTAAGAATTAATGCACGTTACCCAACTCCGGATCGATTTTTATGTACACCAGAAGCGTATAAGTACAGCAGATCTCGCCTCCTGTCTTATTCGAATATCGACATTTAAGATTGATTTTAGAAAAATATAGTGGGACCTCGGTATACAACCTTAATCCGTCCCTGATGTTTGGACTTATACCAAACCAACCTTTCCTATAAGAATTAATGTAAAAAAAAACTCCTATTGATATTATACCTGCATTAATGGGGTTGTGAAATAATTTAAACACTGTTTATGTCATGAACAGCATTTAAACGATTTCCTAGAAAGTTATAAAAAATATTCATTAGTTTATTTAATATAATTAATTTGTAAAATATAAGTGGGCTGTGTTTGTACAATTTTTGTACTATTTTGGGACTACGTATGCGCTATTTAATACTGCGCATGCGCTATTCGATACTGCGCATACACAGAACCCAACCTAATCTAACCTAACCTTACCACGATATCTCGAAAACGGTAAGACATCTAGCTGTGAAACCAATTTTAATCGGTTTCTGGTAGTCAGTTTAGGTTATATACCGAACCTGAGTTCTCAATTTTGGTGGGGCCATTCGGAAACTTATCCTATAAATGTAACCTGATGATAGATTCTGAATTAACAAACCAAATGGAATAAATTTTATTGCCTCCTGTTTTATCCTTACTTGTATGATCAGTCAGTTAATAATACATCAACTCCGAATATAATTGATTATTAATTTAATTTTTCCTCTGAGATAATTATTTAAAAATGACGCAAAATTCACAGAAACAATTTATATCGTATACCGAGCAAAATTTGTCACGTCCAAACAGGACATATACCAAGATACCACTGTATTAAAAAATTTTCTAAAGTTAAAACAGAAAAGGTCCTGAGTCAACGGTATTTAGTACATTCGAGGGTGAAGAAGATCAATACCATCATTCAGAAGGAATTATGTAAAACGAGAGCTAGTTGGGACATAATTACAGCTTAATGTCTATCGTTTGGCCCAATTAGTCGCAATAAAGTAACGCAAGTAACGATAACTGTTCACACAGCCCTTCTACTCGAATATACTGAAAGGAAACATTTTTCAACCGTCAAAAAAAGGCGGACGAAAATGTTTACCCAAACGTTACAAAAACTTGCCACTGCGACACGTTTTTATTTTACACGAATTAATTGCAGAATGAATGAGAAGTGAAAACAAAATTGCACGTGACATTCAAAACATGCAAGTGTCATTTTATTGTGAAATAAAACGCACGTTTCACACTTGGTGAATCTGGTTTGTTTTTTTTCTTTATTTTTATTCGTGAAAATGAAAAAAGTTTTCAATCATTTTTCATCGATCCAAAAATGATTTCCTAACCTCTTCTCTTTTGATCCGTACCAACGTGAACGTTTATCGTCAATTTTTTTTGCACCTGCAAAACGACTTCTGGTACGAAGCAATCGCGCGTGAAATTGCGCTCGCAAATTTGTTTTCGTCCCTCCACGCGAAAGGACGCTAGAAAATTCGTGGATTTCCCTGGATACGCGTCCGCGGAAAACGAGCCGACCCATTTCCGGGGAACATTGCGAATTTCCGGAAGTGGACGGCCACTGGCAACTCAGCAAAATCGTTTTCCCTCGCCTGCTCTTCGTAGTGGACACTTTGCACCTCGTCTCCAAAGAAACTGAAAGAAAATTGTGGAAATGTTAGATGAAAACTGTTGACAATTTAACACTAGATTACCGGAGCTAGTCAATTTGACTCATTTACGATTTTATTGCTATATTGTACATAGAAAAACTTAAATAATTTTTTTAAAACATGTTGTTTTTTAATAGAATTATGAAATATATACAAATACTAACTCCTTCCCAACACCGCTCCTTACACGGGGAACACACGGTAGTGGAAATGGCTTTTGGAATGGCACTAGGTGGAAGCTATAGCACAGCCGACTCTAGTACTTACTAGCCATGCTGAACAACGTGGCAACACCGCTCACGTGACAATCGGGGGTCCTATTTTCAAAAACAGAGTCCTGTGCTCGGAATTGTAATTAACGTCTTTTTTAATTAAAAGCTGTAGTAATATACACTATTTTGTGTTAATTATGTATAAACAATATATAAACGTTGCAACTATGGCAAATAGAAGTGATGTGGTAGTATAAAATTGTTATAAATGTGATATATATTTTGTGTGCTCTCAAAGTAGTTTGGTGTTGTGAAGCATGATATTTGAAATATTTACAGTGGTTTCAAGAAAATTTAGGTATGAAGCAAAATGAAACCATCTTTGGATCAAATTGAAACATTTAAGAATTGATAAACGTGTATATAAGTTAATAAAAACCTTGAAACAAGCGAAATTATTGGAACGAAACCAAAGAGGTTATGTGAAGTCCAGAGAGTAGTCGGGAGTCTGACGACGTTGATTGGCTGAGAGTCTGGGAGTCCGGGAGGCAGATAGAGTAGGGTAGGTGTTGATATATTCAGACCGGACTCCCGCGGTGTTGCCATTTTTTACTTCAGCACGGCCAGTACTAGAGTCGACTGTGGCTATAGTATATATATAGGGTTACAAAACCCCAATAGGTTTCTTCAGAATGGGCCTTCGTTTTTGAGATACTTTAATGTAAAGTTTCTGATACTCTCAGGTACCTCGTATATCATTTATGTAAATCTTTTTAATAAGACGGTTCTGTGGTTGAAGTGGTAGGTCGCTAGCCTACTGGTGAGACCTGGGGTTCGAATCCCCAAAGTTGTGGATAATATTTTTTTTACTAATTTTTGTTATGAAAGTATACTTCCACATAATATACGTTATAAATTATTTTACATAAATTTTAAAATTGCAAATTCACTTATAACATAACATTTTTTTATTCTAATTCTATCTTTCGCCGGTATTTTTTATCCAAATATCCAAATGTGCTATACCTATTTTTTGACGGATATGAATCCGGCAATCTAGTGTTAAAACATCTAGTGTTAGATGTTCTACCTTTCTATAGAAAAATGCATCAAAGGATGCACTTTTTAAAAACTAAGCGATTCGTCGATTGAAAAACTGACACGATTCGATTAATCAACTTAGTAATACAATAGGTGAAAGAGAAAAGCTGCAAGAGAAAAATTCACACGTAGAGAGTTCCGCGTCGCGGACGATTATATTACAGAGAGAACTCGATTTTCAGAGGAGGCGAGGCTTGCAATTTCACGGTGTAAATGGTGTCGAGGCGGCTACCATCTTACCGCGCGGTTCATCTGCGTCCAACAGGCGAGAAGTTTCAGTCAGTTTTTAATTAACCGTCGGCTAAAAGCAATTTCGAATCTCCCGCAATCCCTCGACCGGTCGTAACAAAACAATTTCTCATTCTACTTCATCCGCGAACCGATTAAGGAACAGGAGCCACGGCTGCTTTGAGAAACTTTCAACAGTCCTTCTGTTTTTAAAGGAATAGAAAATTGAACGGCGGATTATGGATGTAACCGTCTCGTTTCCATCGGCGCCGAGTTGGAAAGAGGATCAAACTGAAACTCCTCTTAGGCTAACACCTCGGGGAAAACTTTACAAATGATTTCTTCTTGTTTAAATAAGCGAGGAAGCTTGAGGTAATAACTTTCGCGATAAGTTCATTCAGTACCTTGGCTGCTGGCCATTCGCTGCAGAGTCATCCATCAAAGATAGCATCATAGTTTGATAAGTTGATTAAGTACTGTTTGCATCCATGTATGTGGAATTATCAGACCTTGGCTTTCCAGTCCTTATTTTCCAATGAATTCTCCTGCAAAATTGAAATATTATGTAATTAGGATAACTCAGGCTTTATGTAATAATTAAAGGGTATAGCCTGATAAGATGGTCAAAAGTGATTTTAGTCAGATGCGCCATAGTTAAAAAAATTAAAAACCGAGTTTTTCGCAGTTTCTTATGTGTCAGAGTTAGAATCCAGATATATTTTACTGAAGACACACCTAGTTATTTTGCCTAGTTTTATGGCAACAGGAATTCAAGAGGAAAGCTAAAACTGGTTGTTTGTTCGGCAGGGGGAGGCATGAAATAGCGGACGAGGGTGTTCCAGTGGGTCGAGAAGGGGCTTTTCACCGAGCGACCGGAAGAAAGGGAAGGTCGACATGGAGAAATACGGGGTGGAACTCCCGAAACACGAGTGGAGCCATAGGCTCAGTCTTCGTGCCAGTCGAAGAAGTCATCAGGTAATTTATACCCCTTTTTTTTTTATGTGTGGAAAATCTTCCAAAGACACCTCCATCCCCCTAGAGAGGGATCGGAGGTAGTGCGGGATTCTTACCTGCTAAAACCCCCACGGTGGCCCGCATTGGTGCTATAGGGAGGGCCCCGGGACCTCTGAAGAACACACCGGGACCGCCCCGCTTCCGGCGCCTTCGGCCTTTCCTGCGATGACCGTAAGGTGTCGTGCGTGTAACTCTATCCTTTCTCGCAAGTGGTCCATTACGGGCCTTGTCGATATCCCGGCACTCCTTTTTTTTTTTACCTGAGGGAAATCTTCCAAAGACACCTCCATCCCCCTAGGGAGGGGCCGTAGATAGTCTGGGATTCTTACCTACTAAAACCCCCACGGTGGCCCGCATTGGGGCTATAGGGAGGGCCCCGGGGCCTCCAAAGAACACACCGGGACCCCCCCGCTCCTGGCGCCCTGGGCCTTACCTGCGATGGTCGTAAGGTATCGCGCGTGTAACTCCATTCATTCTCGCATCACGGACCTTGTCGATATCCCGGCATTCGCTTTTTTTATGTGGGGGAAATCTTCCAAAGACACCTCTATCCCCCTAGGGAGGGGCCGGAGGTAGTCTGGGATTCTTACCCACTAAAACCCCCACGGCGGTCTGCACTGGGGCTAGAGGAGGGCCTCGAAACCTCTGACGAACGCGTCGGGAAGGTAATTTATACCTATCCTTCGCACCTTGATCGATTTTTTTTCTCCTCTTCCTTTATTTACTACCCTCTTTCTCCGGGAAGAGATTCCCGGTGTGTTTAATGAGAGAACGCCTCATCTGGCGAGGATGAAAGAATCAGAAGTTCGTATTAAGAAAGTTCCGTGAGAAACGGTTTCTTACTTCACCACTCGTAATATTGAAGCAGCTGAGAAGGCTACGTTTTCAGTGCACGGATAAAACGCAATCATTCTCTAACCTTCTCTTCTTTTCACCTGTAACAAACGTTAATTATTATTGAACTTTCGTTTTATTCACAGTTGAAGAAGAAATTTCAAATTAAAAAAAATTGTTCTGTACCTGTGAAATAAAGTACGACGATTATTTAAATTAATGTTTGTATCGGAAACAGGGTGGAGGAACGTTTAAATGAAAATTTTCAGCCACGTTCGAAGCATCGTTCAGAAGGATCAGAGCTGTCACTGTGTTTCCACCACGCTCCATTTCAACCGGCAATTATTAACGTTTCTGCTCGGTCGAATTTACCCTATGTCAACCGCAAAATTCGCAGTTACCTTCTCTCGCCAAATTTTACGTTCCACCGGGCAAATTACACTGCTGTTTGGTCTCCAAATATTATTGTTTTCCTTTCTTTTTTTTTCTACTGGTTTATGTGACGTCAATTTGTACGTATACTAGTATCCATTAAAAGCTTAAAAAACAAACAGCAATATTTGTTTATTCATGAAAAGTCATATTGTTTTTGATGTGATATTGGTTTTATTTTCAATTAAAATTTATATTTGTTTCTTTTTACGTGGGGGGAATCTTCCAAAGACACCTCCATCCCCCTAAGGAGGGGCCGGAGGTATTAAAATCAATACGGTGGCCTGCACTGGGGCTAAAGGAGGGTCCCAGGACCTCCAACGAACAACACTGGGACTTTCCATCCCTGGCGCAACTGCACGCCTCATCCTGGAGGAGGTCTGACTAGCCCCCCCACCTACTTCCTTCGAGCCGCGTGAAATGACCGCCGGGGCCTCAACCCCGACCACCTGCAGCCCTGCAACCCCAAATAGTACCTCGAGGTCGCGATACCCACGTTGGGGGAGGGGCAAATGCCCCTCCCCGATCTCCCCTCTTCGCTCAGCCGCGTTGGGGCTGATGGGCCTTGTCTGAAATGACTTCTCGGCCCACCACCCCTTCCTTTTGTGCGCCTGCGTCAACTTGGCTATAGTCGCGAGTAGATAGAAGGCACATGTGACGGTCTGGTTATTCCGTTCCTGACCGTGTTTTCTTATAACTCATGCCGCAGCTATACCGCTGATAGAAATATCGTCTTATAGCTTTTCGTGCCCTCTTGCCTGCTGAAATTGCTATAGGTCTATTATGCCTTTCTCTCTATCTTGTCTCGCCTTGCTTCACTTAATAATTATCGCCTCCCAGAAACTATCAGTTTTCACTTTGATTCTCCTGTTTACAGCGTTCTATCATTTTAAAAGTATAATGATATTTAACAATGTTATGTTGTTTTCCAAGAGATTGAACAATTCTCCAATTCTCACTGAAATTGGGAGCAATTGAAACAGCGTGATTCAATATTTTTGAACGTTTCATTTATAATGCTTTCTGATACTGTACACCGTCAGCAATTACGTGGCAAAGCGACGGCGGTAAATCGCGATCATCGGATATCGAACCTTGAATAATTAATGAATATCGAGCCGAAATGTTATTAAAACACGGTCGAATGATTTCCAAATCGGAAGGGAAGCAGGAGCACGAAACAGCCTTGCCACTTCAATTAATCCCAAACAGTGAATTATTCATAACTATCGAATGAACGCATTAAGGAAGGAATATTTTATATACGTTTTCATCACCCTCTTGATCGAAGCGAACATTTTACCATTATTTTCAAGATATTTTAAAATCATCTCCAAATAACATGCATAGAAATATCGTTCTGTATTTTTAGCTTCGTTAACGATCCATGAAATCAGAAAATATTTCACCTCGTTTATTTATCCTTCTAATGGATCCCCCTCCGTGAGGAAAGCTAATAAAAAAACATTTGTCGGTGTCAAAGAAAGCGCGCGGACGTGAAATCGCGAAAAAGTGAAACAAACGATGGAAAGGGAGGCGGAGTAGAACGGACACGTATTTGGCCAGGCAGCGAGATTGTCTGAAAATGTGTGCCGACTGATACGTTATCAGACTTCCAACATGGTCCATGCACCACGTCAACGAAGAATTCACTGGAATGTTTAGTCCGTTATTCTCAACTTCAACTGGCTTGCATTGATAAAGGTCTTTTATCAGAGTTGTTGATTCAATTTCATTGAAAGGTGTCCCATAGAAAACCTGAAAAAGAATTCGATCTGTTGTATTATATTTGTATTATATATATCATACAGCTCGTAGAAGATGTTAATTAATGAAAACACAGACACACTCACAGTGTATCATCGAAATTCTCTAAAATTATTCACCGTGGCTATTACCTGTTTCTAAACCACGTCCACATAACGAGACAGCGGGATTACAATAATTAAACGAGCCAGGAGACTCGGGGGAATTAATTGGACAGTTTGCACCGTGTTTAATGGAACAACTGTTGGTAATCAGAGCGAGAATCAAATCAATTTTCATTAACCCGTTCGGCAACCGTCTCATTAGAAGATGACCTTTGAAAATCAACCATTTCACCCTTATTTATAACAAAATTAAAAGTTTTGATTAAATTTAAGAAAATGGGGTATTTTATTACCATAGATAGCCCTTGACCTGGTGATTCCAATGGTGGTCATCCTATCCCTTAACTCCCCCCCTTCGCGCTCCCCCCCAGGAGTCAAAAACTGAAATGGTCCAAAAAGTGTTTTTTTGCACTGATCTCAGTGAGTACATCCCCCCCCCCAAATAAAATAAAATTTAAAAAACTAACCTAACCTAACCACGTTTTGGACCATATCAGTTTTAGCTCCTGGGAGGGCGGAGGGGAGGAGTTAATAATTCAAAAACGAAACTTCAACCAACATTTTGGTAAAGGAAAAAGTTGTTCAGAATCACCCCAGCAACCTCCCATTTCCGGGAGTTACGCGAGTTTCGGCACCCTGTATATATATTTCAATTTTGTAGAAATTCATTAAATAGGAACTACAATTACCTTAGTCTCCTGTGAACGTATCCATAATCTACCTTATCCATTCTTATTGGGTATGGGCTTCTAGATCCCAGAAGACTAGTTTCCACTAATTGCCCTAAGTGTAGGTCCTCGGAAACAGCCAAGGTTTCATGCGTATCACAAATTCCACTTAATGTCCTGACAGGGTCCTTCAAACAGAAGGTTGGTCCTTGGAGTGTACTGGGCATACCAAGTGTAAATCACTGGTCTAGTAGAGTCTAAAATAAAAAAAGAAAAGAAACTACTGGGTTCCAAATTAATTGTCTCAGTCATAAATGAATTTTAAGCCCTCTATTCTCAGAAGTACTCAAAATCTAAAATTTCTATTTCTATTTCTATTTCTCTAAAAAAAAGAAGTTTGGATCCCACTTAATGTCCTGACAGAGTCCTTCCAAATCAATTGTCTCAGTCATAAATGAATTTTAAGCCCTCTATTCTCAGAAGTACTTAAAATCTAAAATTTCTATTTCTATTTCTATTTCTCTAAAAAAAAGACGAGACTGAGAAAAGCAGTGGCGTACATTCGATGTTGAAAAGGCATTCACTGGAAATGGACGTTGAATTCAAAGGACGCAGAGTCCAGGCTGTGACAGTAGCTTTTTCCGGACATTCGAACGGGAATAACACGGTTTATACAAGTTTATCGAACGTCCGAGCCGAGCTTAACGAGTCCCGCTCCTACTTTCTCCGCGAGTAATTGCTTCTTGTCTAGAAAATGGCTCCGGAAATATGTGTTTTCCCTGGCTCGCGTTCCGGAACTCTCGACGAGGGGGAATCCGTGCGGATATTTGCGTTTCATCAGCCTCGACATAAAGAAAGGAATCGGCGAGGCAAGAAGTTCTTTTTAATTAAAGAAATCTTGATTTTCTCCTTTTTTCATGAAAACTGAAAGATATTTCAAATATTAGTCAATTTCATTCAGGAATTAAGTTTTTCTTTTGTAAGTTTGTTGACAAATTAAATTAACTCTTAAGCAACTGTTTATGAATTATTTCAATCTCGTTAATTATTCCTTCCGGATGCGCCTCTCGTTTGAATAACCTGAATAAAAAGAGACGCTGAAAGGTCTGCTTTTTTCCACGGGAAGGTCGATAAATGTCTTCGAGGAACAGTCTGGAAGAGTTTAATCGCGTCGGAAAATTGTCTGAACCGTTACATGAGTTGGCGGTGTTAATTTTCCAAAGGTTCTTGTCGATATAGTTTTATTTAAAAGTTTACTTTGCCGCCTACGTTCGATGCAATACTTCAAACCGTTTAAAATCGCTTCATTTACATCCTCCTACTTAACAAATAAATGAATCAATCTTGAAAAACGATTCTACAAATATAATTTTAGTTTGAAATTCAATTTGCATCTTACAAACGCTATTACCATAGTAATTAATGAATCAGAATTTATTTTGAAAATCTACGAGATATTGAAAATTCCATACTTTACAAGAACCGAAGCAATAAGTGATTTTTAGAGCAAAGCAGAAAGAAGCTTTGAGAAGCTGAAAGGGGAAGGATAAAGTATTAAATTTCGATTTCCCAATCAGACGATGAAGCCCTTGTCTCGCGCCCTTTCAGTTTCCCCCTGCTTCTTTCACCTCGTCTTATCCGGGACTTTCATCGCGCTTTCTGAATTCTTGATCAACCCTTCGACCCGATGTATTTCTACTTCTCAAAGTCTTACCCCTCCTCCGTGATTTGATTAACAGGGCGAAGTGGCGGCTAGGTCCGTCGGCGGACCAGCGAGAAGCACCAGGAGGTGGGCCAGTTTGAGGCAGCACGTGAGCAGCAACGATGGCGGCAAGCCTAAGGTCGAGCTACTGTTGGATCCTCCGGGTTCCAAGTCGTCGACGCCGTCTTCGCAGCCTCACACACCGAACACACCCAAGACGCCTCACACACCCCTGAGGAAATCCAACTGGGAGGTGATAGAGCACTTCACCGGTGCACCGCGTCCCTCCATCATCACGGTAAGTAATGGAACACCAAAAATAATAGTATCCTTGGTAATAATGTGGGGATTGTGAGGGGAGCGTGGCGTTCGCGGTGCCCACCTTTTTTTTTTACGTGGGGGAAATCTACCAAAGACACCTGCCCACCTGGGGGAGGCTCCGGAGGTAGTGCGGGGTTTTACCCGCTAAAACCCCCACGGTGGCCTGCACTGGGGCTATAGGGAGGGCCCCGGAATTTCTGAAGAACACAAGCGGACGCCCACTCCCGGCGATCCCCACTGCCGGCATTCCCCACTCCCGACGTCCCCCACTTCCGGCGATCCCCACTCCCGGCATCTCTGCCCTGGGCCTTTCTTGTGATGGCCGTAAGGTGTCGCGCGTGTAATCATCCTTTCTCGCAAGCGGTCCATTACGGGCCTTGTCGCTATACGGGCCTTGTCGCTATACGGGCCTTGTCGCTATACGGGCCTTGTCGCTATACGGGCCTTGTCGCTATACGGGCCTTGTCGCTATACGGGCCTTGTCGCTATACGGGCCTTGTCGCTATACGGGCCTTATCGATATACGGGCCTTTATATATATAAAATTTGTGAATATAGAACCCAGGCGTCTGAGGCAGGGACCGTCCACGTCAGCCCCACTGACGAGTTCTAGTGGTCGGTTCCCGGGAATCGCCCCATAATTCTTCCACCGGTATCCTACAATAATTATTCAAATATTGAATACACGAATGCTTTACCTGTTTATAGATGAACCGAGGATCTGAAATCGGCGTTGGGCTAACCGGGAATAGCGTAGAGGCGACGCAGGAGGTGAACGTGAACACGCCGATCACTCAACCGGCCAGGAAATGTGCCCTCTGTCGGTTTCTGAAATCGTTGTGCGCCTCCCATCGGTTCAAGAACTTGCAGGTAATTCAGCCACATACCAATTTCTGTTATTTTATGTCCTGAAACCATGTCAGAGTATCTAGAACCATTAGTAATAGTTTGGAGAGGATAAAAGGAGAGCTCAAAATCGTGCAACAAGTTAGAGGAAATCCGGTGCAACCGGTTACATGCAGTTTCGAACTCGGAGTTCTTACTTTCGTTCTGGAAACGAGTATCCGCGATGTGCAACCGACACGTTCCCACAAATCTGCGGCGGGAACGAAACGCGCAAACTGTTCGTCGAAATGCTTCGAGGGGAATCATTAAAAGTTTGACTTTCCATTTAACAAGATTCATTGCGAACTGTTTTTAAAGCTATCGACATTTATCGTTCGCAGAGAAAACAATTAACTTTTTCCCGTTCGTGAAATTGATTTTTTTCTTTATTTAGAAAATGAAAGAAATTGTTTTTGTTTTAACTGTACGTTCCTCGAAATCGAGTAGATATCCGTTCCAGGAAGTGCTACGTTTTTGAACAAGTGAAAAATGGTAAACCTTGCAACAGAAGGAATTTTTATACCGGAATGGTGATCAATAAACAATTGAGATTTCATGTTCGCGATAATAAACAAATTCAACGTGCGTGGAAACATTATTGTCGATAATATCTCGTGGCACGATGCTTCGATTATCCACTTGACTAAGCTAATTCCACGCTACACGTTGTACGATAAAGCTTGAAAAAATCAGATTGCAAGCATTTAACTATCGATCGATTAATTCTGGGTTTCCAAGAAATCATTGCGTCAGATTTCAACCCTCGTTAACCCTTTGGGGATGGAACATTCTCAAGCTTGCACAGAGTATTATTAATTTAAGATAAAAGAAGTAATAATTCCATTCTTCAAAGCAGATTCGGTACCTTTAATATTACACTTTCTTAGTTACTATTTTAAATTCAAATATTCTCCCGCGCTTGTGTGAATTTGAAAAATGGCGCGAGAATATGATATCAATAACAATAAATTAAAATGTAGTTTCTATAACTTCTTAAAAATAAGCCATTTTAAAAAATAAAAAGGCACCGAATTAATTTGTACACCTAATACTATGACAATTAATAAAAATAAACGTAGTACTACGTTTTCCTTTAAAACTCGAACTAAAGTTAATAATGCAAGAAAACGTAAAAGAAACAACGATCGTCTACCTCTTTCCTGATTTATTTTGTTCGAAACGACGGAGTCTGTGTTTTCATGGTTCCTTTAATTCTAGGGATCCCTAAATCCCTCCCGAGACGAAGTAAATTTAAATTCTGTCGAACTGTACCTCTTCCTGTTGTTTCTTTTTTAATTTTGTTTTGTTTCGCTTCGCTTTTCGCGTCCGTGCTTCTCTTTCTGATCGAACGTGCTCAATTCTCTACGGCTAAATTAATCCCAGCACGAGACTGGCCAACGATTTTTCAACTCTTCAACTTCTCGACTGGTACCGGTGTAACAATCTCCGACGCCAAAATTGAAAAAGTTAGCGGCCTCCTTCAAACGCCTGTGAATTAAACAAAAGGGACCAATTGCAATTCCACAGTTGATACTTTCAGACAATTATAAAAATAATGTTACATTACTGAACCGATCCTTGAAAGCATAAATGTGAATAAAAAGAAGGTCAAATTAATTTGAATTAATTTAATTGTCCTAACGCGCGACACGCATCTAATATTCGCTTTATAGCAACACACTGCAATTCATTCATCGTGCAAACACACGTTGCTCGTTTTCCTTTGATTGCAACATCCGCAGGACCGTTTAAAGTAGTATAATATCTCATTTCTGCCACGCGATTTGCTCCGACGCGTTCCAGCCGCTTTTCAACGGACCATTTCCACCACCCCCGCCACTATTTTCATGTAAATGAACGCGTGAGCTCTGCTTCGTTGAACCTGCATCGCAATATGAATAATTTCTCTAAGATATTCGACCATCAAATTCAGTTTCAGAATTTCATTCAACAGATTTCATCTGCTTTTTGATCAAGTCCCACCATGGTCCACACGTTACTTTATAATGTTTCCCTTTCAGGTGGAGATGCTGTACCAACGCTACTTCCTGAGGATGAATCAAAGTAACACGACCCACGTACTCGGTCTACTGGCAGGGCTGGCTCTGGCTCTAGGTCTGCTGTTAATTCTGAGAATCCTTCTGGAGGACAACCAGCAGTTTTTCGTCACTCTTGAAAGACCTGAGAACCTGTCCTTGGCGGTCACCCTGCTGATCTGCATCATGGTTTATGCTGGTAGCTATTTGAAAATGATACAACACTGTCCAAGAAAGGAGATGACCATCTCCATACCTTAGTCGACCCCCATTGTTCCGGCAAATTTTTACCCCATGGAATCCATAGAATTGGTCCCCAAGATGATCTGTACCAAGTTTTATCCGAATCGATTAATGGGAACATGGTCTATTCTGTGGATTCCATGGGGTATAAATTTGGCGGGACAATGGGGGTCAACTAAGGTATGGAGATGGCTATCTCCTTTGAACCTTTTTCTATTTTCCAATTGGGACGTGGGCCCCACGTTGGGAAATACTGGTGTAATTAGTCTTTCTAAAGAGGCTGCAAAAGTACATTAATTACTGTTACACTAACTCCTCAATGTCAATTGGATTTCCAGCACTGGTAGCAGCCATATCAAGGCCAGGTATGAATGAGATCTGGTTAGCTGGGGTCAGTGGGATCGTCCTGGTGACATTACTAGCCCTTCAACTGGCCCTCAACATCCACCTGGCCCTTGGATCAAAGGAGCACCGAAGCGGAGGCCCGCTAGCTGCAGCCTGGGCTGTTTGTTTCTTCATCTACATGGCGTACGCACTGCTGCCCATTCGTCTGCGACACGCTTGCATCGCTGGCTTCATCTTCTCATTGGCGCACCTGATCGGCGCTTTCGCTCTCTATCCTTCCCACTATCCAGCCATGATGGAGCACGTAAGTGACATTCTTCAATTTTTACAATTAAGAATTATACTGACTCTCTGTGCACTAATGGTGACTTTAGTCACCCGTCCCACTAGACGGTGAATTTCGCATTCATTTATAACTTTGGTAGAGCAGAATATTATTACATTGTTATTTCTATAGTGCCCGATTTCTTGTACTTAATTTCTATTTTATTTTGTATTATGTAGGCATTTAGTTTAGTGGAGAGGGGGAGGGTTTTCGTCTCCCCGGACGCCTCGAGTTCGGGCTGGGAACCGCTAGGTGGCGGCGAGGTGACAGTGTTCTCGCAAGCACTCGCCCGGCATGCCGTTCGAATATATATAAGTTCCGAATAGCGGTGCGATAGGTGTCTGGGGTAGGGATCGTCTGTTGTCAGCCCCTCTGATCTGAGAGACGATCTGGAGACGAAACGCCTTTTTCTCGCCAACAATTGACGAGATTATTATTTTGTTATTTTTATTTTTTAAGTGCGTCTGCATTAGGATTGCCCCATACCGGGACAGCGCATTCGCGGGCAAATCCGTCCTAGCGAAAAGGTTAACGATTCAGAGGAATACCTTAGGAGTTGGATGATCTCTAACAAAGCTCCAATGTCGAAGCATCTGACAGGTCATAAAATAGCTGAGAATGTTACAATTAACCAACAGAATGTAATAGAATCCAATCAGGGAATTCCAGCGTACCTAAAATCATTGAACGCTGAATTTGAAGTCTAATTAACAGTAGAGCTGTATTACTAGAGTAACATTTGTTGATTGTGGTGCGTTCGATTAATCCCTTTGCCTGAAAGATTTAGTGACGTCAAATGGTACATTTGCTCTGCTTCAGTCGTTCAACAAATTAGAATCCTATTCTTCTTTGATTAAAAATGGCACTATAAAATCTGTAATCCCTCAACATATGCTGGCAAATTTTTAGCTTTCAAAATTACAAAATAACCGTGGAGTGAAAGATTTCTGCTGTCCAGGTTGAAAAATGAATTTCCTCAAACAGGAGGACTGTTTTTCTCGAGAAGCGTATCGCGGTGAAATTACCGGGAGGCGCGTTTTCCTCATTTTCTCGGGATTTTTCGATCGTCAGGATAAAACGAGGAACATATGCGTGCACTGATAAGAGATAAGGGAAACACAGATCGATGACGGTGGAGCATAGAATAGACAGGAACGATTGTGAAATCTCTTGAAAACGGTTCGTTGTTATTGGATTTCCTTCTAGCTCGCTGTCTTCATCCATCAAGCTCTTCGCTCGTCCTTTACCCAGCAATTTATTTAGCTTTTATTACACTGAAAGCATGGGAATCGAGCGGATGCAACCTCCAGTTTTATCGACACACGTGGAAACAGTATCCCTTCTCCCTTCCATGATAGATCAACTAAGTGCTTCCCACTGTCTTCATCCTCGCTTAAGTCGCACCTGAAAATAAGAAATTTAATGAAACATTTATAAGGAAACTTAAACAGCTTTTAATTCCATCCGTTGAAGCGTTAACGTCTAGAAATTTGAATGGAGAAATGATTAACCATAGCCTGAAAAGCGAATTAATTAACGTAGTTTACACGGATTCTCCTAACGGCTCGTTATCTCGTTGAACAAACACCTCCCCGTTAATTAATTAACTACAGTAAGAAAATAACGCAAGAAGCCGACGAGCCAACCCTTTTAACCCGGGCCGCTATTAACTTAAATAATAACTACCATTTCCCACCGATAGGAAAAAGAAAACACAGTTGGTATAATTCCAACTTTCCTTCCAACATCCATAAAAACCCGGCACGTATCAATATCGACACCTTTTTTCCTTCGAGAGGGAAAGAATTCGAGAAAAGAATTCCTCGAAGGATGATGCGAGTCCTTCCTCGTAACTTTGGGAATAAAATAAGAAAATGAAAGGCTCGGACAAAAAAGGTGGGCAACACGTGTGTCTACACAGCCCATAAGCAGGTTCATGGGCCGATTACGAAGGGATGTTGGTCGGTCGCCGAAGAGGGTGATCATGATTTTAAAGGCAATCGTGGCTGGAACACGTAGCACGGAGGCATCTCCTGTCTACCGGGTGACATCCTTTGAACACGACCTCAGCCGAGCTTATGGAAGTTGTCAAAGCGACATCGTGTCATGTTGGCACGACCTTGTTCGTGCGAACGAAAAGGGGCCGGGAATCTCGTCGCAAAAGGAATTTGTTATGAGGCAACTACGTGGAAATTTACTTGGAAAAGACTGCTATCCTCTACACGTAGTACTACGTGCCCTAGGAACCGGGTAAAGATTGCTCCCTGTAACACTGGATCTTATGAAATACGTGGAGTGTTTTGTAACGGGTTTTGTAAAAGGGGATTTCGATCGAGAACGTAGTACTACGTGTTGCAGGAACAAGCGTGGTACACAGAAATGTAACAGATTGCATAACGAAGATTGCAATGGGAAGATCAATGTTTCTGTAAGGTTCGTCGACAGTTTGCTCCTGGCAAACTTCAATCTCTATTATCGTAACCCCGCTGGTTCCGGATTCGACGATCGGGAGTGAAAGCTAATTGACCGAAGGGGGATAGTACAAAAGGGAGTAGCCGGCAATTTGCAAAATTGCCTGCCGCAAGGAGTTGGTATAAACAAAGCGAAAAAGGGAGGGAAGATTAATGGAGACGTCAAACGAATTCCTGATTCATCCAGCAACGCTTTTTCCCTATTAGATCCTTTCGACCAAATTGCTGTCGCCTATGTACTGCGCAGAGATGAGAAGATGATGAGCGGGACGGCATTGGGGCGAAGGGAGCATTCCGCACGCTCCGCCCTATCCACGCGTAATCCACACCATTCTACTTTAGTGGCACGATTTTACATAGGCGTAGCAATTCCGTATTTCCAAGGGAGACAGTACTATCATAGACAGGACTCTATAATACAGGCCTACGTCTATGGTTTAAAATCCACCGCAACGCAGACTTCGTATTATCTCACTTTGTCTCGAAGCGTCTTTGTCAGGCGACGCCATTACTATATGTCACTGCATTGGGCAATAGCGCCCAACGATCTAGTGTGCCCGATGACCAATCGTACCCGCATTCCTTCCGTTTATCATCTTCTCATCTCTGCATAGTATTGTGCACTGGTCACAAGAAGTTCCGCAGGAGGGCACAGCGGGGGGGGGGGGGGGGGGGGGGGTACTATGCACACTTGCACTGATTCCCTAGTTTTACACGGGTCTAATTGGTAGATTTAACGAGTGAGCTGAGTTGGGGCGCGACCAATCAAATTGCGTTATTCTTGCGGGACTTCTTGTAATTGGTGGACAGTACTTTCTTTTGCCTCACCTGAGAAATATTTAATTAAAAATCAGGAAATTTTAAAGTTATTATAATAGGGGCAGTACTTATCCTTCAAACTTAATGGCTGATGGAACATCTAAAATATTCCAGACCGGTCGTTGATACTTTCCCTTAGAAAAATGATGAGTCCTCGTTCACTGTGTCCGGAGTTTGGGAACATCGATGCGTGAAGAGAAAAGTTGTCTTCTAAAAATATCGTTGATCATACATCACAAGTTTCAATCACCAATCCCCCAGTGTACACCGCGAAAGCTTCTCATGGTCGTCGAATGGACGGCCAATATATCTCAACTTCTCCCTGTCTCTGCCAATAAAAATGAATCTAATCAGGCTCGAGCAAACTGGGGGGGGGGGGGGGGGGGGGGGGGGGGGGAGGACCTGGCCAGAGTTACGAACCAGCTTCTAATGCCCTCGTCTTCGTTACGAGGGCAAAAAAAGGAGACGAACGGTCCTCCAAAGTGTACATACCATATATCTGGGAGGATACACTTGGTCGAGCAAGCAAACAGAGGAGAAAATAGCCGGAGAAAGTTGGGAATTCAATTACCCCGGGTCGTAGGGCAAGGCAGTGTTGGCCTAATGGCGGGCAGGACACGTTCGCCAACCCACTGGTGAAGAGAAAAACAGCGAGCGACGTTTCGCGTTCCTCGACTCGTGCACGAGGAAAACGATGGAATTCTTTTTCCTACCGTGAAACTCGCGTCACGGGAGGACTGAATATTTTACCCGGCTCTGTGTATCTTCTCGCTACTCCACAGAGGGAAAGAAATTCCTTCGATTCGAAACGGCTTCCACAGAAAGCTTTCAAACTTCCTCCATCGACCTGCTTCTTGCACAGAGTCTTAGGGTGAAGTCTGTCAACTTTCCTTCTAGCCTCCTATCTATAAATAATAAAATTAAGAAAATAATGTGAATAATAAAAAATTGTTGAATTGTTATATATTATGGAAAATTTAAGTAAAAACTTAAAAGTGTCCAGAATTAATTCCACTAGTGTACGTGACAATGATTTTACAACAAGTTTTCTATAAAATCATGGTGACACATTGCATGTAGTACGCTCCTGAAATGTCACTATGTTGATCAAATACTTTCCATCATTATAATTTTTATTTAACACTTTGGGCGCCACGTCACTCATATTATTAGGAATTCTTTGATTTACTTAATTGGAAATACTTGTATTAGATACTTGAAATTGTGGATAAAAATAAAATGAAATGATTTATGAAGACAAAAATTTTCAATGATTTTAGCGTGGTAGTCAAAGTGTAAATCAAAATGTAGCGACTAATTATAGATCCTTGGAAATGCATTTGATCAATAATTTAAGAAGAAAGAAAGAAAGCTGTATTTCAAGAAAACTAGGAACATCCTTACTATTTGATCAATTCCGTGACTGTATATCAGTTACAAACGATTTCGCTTTGTAACAAGCAGAACGGCCCTGTTGTTCGAACCGTGTTCAGATAAACGAAGTTTCATCGTCAGTTTGTCCCTTTTATCGAAACGAACAGGCGCGCAAAGCAACGAGTCAGAAAACATTTCCGTTGTCGAGGGGCGGATCGATGTCGCGTAGGAAAATCGCCTCGTTAGCTGGCAACGATACGTTTCAATCGGCTGCTCCCGCGACCGCGAGCGATATCGCCTCGTCACCCAGCACCA